ACATTTATGTTGCAACAATATTAATTTTAATAAATATTAAATTTTAATTTTAACAAGTAAGAAAGCTCCAGTCGAGACTGCTCGACTAGGAGATACCCCGAACCCTCTAAGCTGATAACCCTCTAAGCTCTAGGTCGAAAAGTGTTCAAATTAGAAAAAACAAAAACATAACATATTGAAAAAACAATAACAATTTTTCGATTACTCTCGATAAAAATGTTATCGGATGAGTTATCGAAAAAATTTTATAAACTTGTACTGCCTATGGAATACACGAGTATACATGCCAGATTTCAGCTCTTTAGCTCTTGTAACTTCTGAGATCGACGCACTCATACGGACGGACGGATGGACGGACAGGGCTATATCGATTCAGCTCGTCGTCCTGATCAAGAATATATATACTTTATGGGAACTGCGATGATTTCTTCTGCCTGTTACATACTTTTTCACAAATCCATCATACCCTGATTTCTCATTTTTAATGGGTATAGGGTATAATTAATATAAATATTTTTTATAGTTACTGATGTACGGATATTTTCGTAAAAATTACAAATCTGAGAAACAAATAATCCGTATAAAATTTAAAATGATAAATTACTGAATAAAATAAGAAATTAATAATTTAAATGTTTTGATTTTACTACAGAGTATCTCTCTAGTTAAATCATGCCAGTTGTTTGTTGTTGGCAGCCGGCTGCTCGACTGCTCTGCCTGGCCGTGCTTAGGAAGGGTTTTTGAGGCATTGGGATTTTGCCAATTAAGCTGACGATTTTATAACTCCTTTTATGACCAAAGTTTTATTTATAGCCTAAAGGCAAGGCGATTGCCTGTGATACGTCCACAGATACAATGCAATCAATTCAAATCGAGAGAAATTCAAGCTAAAATAAATTGAGAGAAACCAAAAGTTGATAACGAACCTGAAGAAAAGCCTCATGTGGCTTTATATTATGCATTAACAAAATTTAAGAAAGCATCGGAAAATGTATGAAAACATCTCAAGAGTCGCTGAAGCCTCCTCGAACGGAAGTCGAGGAGGATGAGTCGACGGCAGCTTGCAGCCAAACGTAATCGAGTAAGCGGGGCTGTGCTTAGGGGAAATTGCCAAAAGTCATTAAATTGCTGAGCAACGAGGCTGGAGCAATAAGCTGTTGCTCTCGACTGCTAACCAGGAGGGATGGATCACTGGAATGGAATGCAGCTGCAATGGCTCATTTTTATGCAATCCCATCATCATACTGCCTGGGAGACTCAGAGACAGTGAGAGAGAGAGAGAGGGAGAGGCAAGCAGAGAGTCAGATACCTCAAGCAGTGTCTGCCATCTGCTACTGACGTTTACCATAAATATAATTAAAGTTTCATTTCCGTGTTAGAGCTGCGAATGACAAGTGCTGCGGGCACGTGGCGTATGAGTGATGCCAGCGCAGCCAACTCAAAAGCCATTCAAACAGCGAACAAACATTTTAAATTTCATATGAAAATGCATTTCCAACTTCGTTATGTCACACATTCCATTTTTGCAAAATAATTAATTGACAATGATTTCATAAGGTCTTGATTTCATAGGGTCTACATTTGTTAAGGCGATGCACCCATTGGAAATGGGAAATCTGAAAAGCTATATGCTTCAAGCAAAAGAAGGTGTGGCCTAGTTGGGCTATCTCAGACAGTAGACGGTGTGGTAGACCCCAATAGAGAATATATATATTTTGGATAATGGCAACAAGCAGTATCGACATAGCAATCTCCGTCTGTCTGTTCCTTAAATGTTTGTATGTATAAAATAAACGGCTTCAGGGTATCTCCTGGTCGAGCAATCTTGCCTAGGTCACTCTTACTTGTTTTTCATTAAGCTTAAGCTGGGTACAATTTATATGAATTTTTGTAAGAGGTTAGCTCTTAATTTGTTTCAATTTTTATATAT